AGATAATCTTTGAGGGAGAAGGTTTTCTTGATGACGAGATGAATGTAGCAATCGATAACGTCACTGTCACGACTGAGAACTGTTCCTTAAGACCTTACTTTGCTGAACCAGGTACTGACTCGTTACTTCTTTCTCTTGTCTTTGATAAGCTTTCGTGAGTGACTGTACAAAGACTCAGAAATGAATCTCAACTGTAGCGTGGTCAGATGCTACTGATGAATGTAAACAGACATAGACACGGACACGGACACGGACANACTTCTTTCTCTTGTCTTTGATAAGCTTTCGTGAGTGACTGTACAAAGACTCAGAAATGAATCTCAACTGTAGCGTGGTCAGATGCTACTGATGAATGTAAACAGACATAGACACGGACACGGACACGGACACGGACACGGACACGGACACGGACATGGACATAGACATACACTGTTTATTTAACTTGGACACTTGCACACTTAAAGGTTAAAGCGGTTGAGTATCCAAAGTAAGTGAAGTGGCTTATTCAGTTCGTAATTAAATAAATAATGTAGCAAAAATAGCAATCTGGATTGTTTTTCGATGAAGATGAGTGATTCAATGAACTTTTCAGATTTCAGGTGTAGCGATAAGCAGTTTACATGCCAAAATGGCGAATGTGTCAAGAAGAATCTGTTATGTGACGGCGACTTTGCATGTAAAGATAAATCAGACGAAGACGATTGTGGATGCCCTTCCAGCATGTTTCGCTGTCAGGGGGGAGGATGCCTCCTGGTAACAGATGTGTGCGACGGAAAAATCGACTGCTCTAACGGAGATGATGAAAATAATTGCCGTAAGTAGGCTGTTTTTAATAAGGGTTTAGGGTTTAGGTTACATTCTCATGCGGCACAAGAAATTGTACCAAGCCAAACACAACGCCTTTCGCCCTTATTTTCAGGCACAGTGTATATTGGGCGGGAGATGTGGTGACTTTACCAGGTTTGTACGCTGGACTAAAGATCGAGCGATCTTGGTTCGAGACCTGGCCGAGGTCACTGTCTTAGGTTTTTAAGCACGTCATTTGACTCTCATGGTTTTCGAATTACATTTCAGGAAATCCGTGCCCGTCTAGTCATCATTGTGTTGATGGGTCTTGTATTTCGTGGTCAAAAACATGTACTCAAACAGCTTTCTGCAGGGACGGAACTAATACACCTTCTGTATGTGGTGAGTCGGGTGTAGCACGTTAGCCAAAAGAAACAAAACTTGAACGTTTGGTTTGCATTTACAGGGACTTACCCGAACATCATTCCTGTAACATTAACCAGAATGTGTTAACATTAGTCGAAATTACTTTTGTAGTGTTGACCCAGACCCGCGAGATTTATACATAAATAAGGTGGGTTTGTATATGCTTTTCGCCCATCCTTTCATTTGCAGGGTCTGGAAAGTGCCACCTTAATAATTTAGCATGTACCTCCACCGGGCCCACAAGATGTGAATCTTTCAGAGGTAAGATGTACTCACTGAACTGCTTCGCATTTAACATTTTCCTTTCTTCGTTTTTTTTCAAACAGTTTTTTATTTAACTGTATTCGGTCAACGAAGGATACTTCCTCCTTATCATGTATCACCTTTCCGCCTTCCATTGCAAATGAATTGACCAATTTGCAAAGATGGTTTGGAATGCCACTGTCAGGTGTAGCATGATTTGGAAAAGCTTGAATTTCTTTTTGTTAAATTAAACATATATTTTGCAAGTAATACCCAACAAATACAGTGTGACTATGACATGGACACCTATTACAACAGTGACAAACGAGTAATAATATTTTGTACTTCAGGAATATATAATGAAATACGAAGCAGAACTGTATATACCTGAGGCTTTCTAATCCATAAATTTTAGTTCCGTTCCAGGCTGCTATTGCTTGAAATCTTTGCAGCAGCTTGTTAAATCAAGGAATTCAAGTTTTTGTTGATAAGCTAGTCTCTAGTTTACTACTGCAAGCATCGTCTATCAAGAAGACGATTTCTTGCCTTTAGCAATTTGTTTTTGTTGAAAGTCATCCGTTGAGATCTCGATATGACAGGATGGAATTGATCTCGCATTGCACATCCTTGATTTGGTTTCATACTGTGCGTAAACTTTCCCCATTGAGCCACTGGTCTCCAACAGGTCTTTGCAGTTTCCAAAATGGACTGTGCGGATTGAAATCTGATGGGAATGCCACTTTCCACTGGACCCTGGACTCAGGCCAAACACTAACAGAAAATACTGGACCGTGCTATGATCACACCTCGTTTGATAAAGATGGTAAGAGAAGTCACAAACTTAAAAAAAATTGTAACGTAAAAAACCAATGACAAATTTCTCTAACGAGCGATTAGGGGTATTATTTGCTAAGGCTATTGTCGTTATCAATTTCAAGCAGTTAGGTAATTCCCCTGAAATAAAACTGCCAATAGAGTTTTGTTCAAACTTTGTCCACTGAATATTTATCATATGAGAACTTTAATTATAAAATAAAAAAGGGGGGTGCCCATGCTCGTTAAGGAGCT